TTTTGTTTTTGTTTTCTGTTATGATGTTTTTGTGAATGGAATGTAAATAATCAGCTCAGAGCATATTTTAGAGAGTGAGAGACGGCACCACCGTCGGAAAAAATAGAAAATTTTAATATTTTTATTAATTTTGTTATAGGTTTTACTTTTTGCGACGACATTATACTGTCGCAAAAAATAGAAATTTTATTATTTAAAATAAAAATTTTATTATTTTTTAATGTTTTTTGCGACGGCATTACACTGTCACAAAAAATATAAAATTTCATATTTTTTATACTTTCTGCAACGGCACCACACCGTCGCAAAAAATAGTGTTTTTTTTTTTAAAAAAAGACTATTAGCGACGGTATTTTTTGCCGTCTCAAATAACATTTTTAGCGACGGTAAAATAGGGCCGTCGCAAAAAAGTCAAGAAATTTCAAACGTTATTAGCGACTGCACGATGCCGTCGCAAAAGTTATAAAATGCCGTCGCAAAACATTAGCGACGGCACTTACCGTCGCAAAAACTCTTTTACAACCCCTGCAGTGGCGACCCCCCTCTTGCCGTCGCAAAAAGTCATTTTGCCGTCGCAAAAAGTATTAGCGACGGCATTAGGAGTATTAGCGACGGTATTTTACCGTCGCAAAAAGTCAATTTTTTTGTAGTGATAATACGTATATGTGATTAGGGTGTACCATGAGAAAAAAATAATATTTTATTTTTGAGTTTAATGTGCATTGAACTTATTAGTAAATTTACATTAAGGTATAATAGGAACTAATATTTTATTTTAGAGTTTAATGTGTATTGAACTTATTAGTAAATTTACATTAATATATAATATGAATTAAAATCTTAAAAATTTAATTGGGCGTTTTAAATTACTATTTAGGTGCAAACCGAATTACCCTATTTGATGATGTGAGAAAAAGGCTTCGCTGAGGCCCATTTATAGGCTCTTTGGCCCACAACACTATTTTGTGGGACGGTACAGACTACTTTTATTACTACAGTCATAGAGGGCCTCACAACCTTAAATTTATAGACAATTTTGGTAACTACTATTTGTAGATGTGGTCTAAACATAAGTGAACCTTTGAGTAAATTTACCAGTTGTACTTTAATTTGATAGTTATTGATTTAATCAATACAGTTGTCACTTTTGTATTGTTATTTCAAGAGACAACATTTAACATGTCAATTGATAATTTGTATTGAATGTTATTTTACGAGCATTTAAAAATTTTCTCGGATCCATCCACCAATAATTTTACAATACAAAACCAATCAATCATAGAAAATGGAAGTTGTTACACATATAGATGTGGGGTCTATTATTGAAGAAATTGCTTTACTCACGTTTAAGTATTTGTATTCATCCACCAATAATTCTACAATACAAAACCAATCAATCATAGAAAATGGAAGTTGTTATACATATAGATGTGGGGTCTATTATTGAAGAAATTGCTTTACTCACGTTTAAGTATTTGTATTTTTTGTCTATGCCTATTAATAAAGTTTCTTTGGTTGATCAACAAAAAAAAAAAGGTAGTTGTATTTTTTGTGTTCCAATTCTATACTTAATCTACTCACCCCACATATGTGAGAGAGATAATTTGTCTATTTTAAAATTGATGTTACATTTTGAGCTTGTAAGAGATTGGGAGGATCCCTCTCCCATGCAAATATACCCTTAGTTGTCGAAACAATTGTAAACAATTGCTCCAAAGCACCCAAATTTAGATTATACTGTTATAATATATTTTCCTGAAAATACTTTATCAATCCAATGGAATTTTTCAAATACCCAAAATCACAAAAATTCTAGCCAAGTATAACCCACAATTCCTTTACAAGATTTGATAGTAAAGCGTCCATGTAAGAGTACAAAAATGACATCTGATGCCCCATGTGCACTTCTGGCCACTCACTCCCCTCTAAAAAACTTAACAGACTTTCTCTGCAACTGATCAGACCTTTTCTATAGCTAGCTGTTACTTACTACTACTAATCAAACCCATCCAACTCAACAACCCTAAAGAAGACAAGCCCTAACCAATCAACTTTAAAACCCATCTTACACAGATGTAGAACTTTGTCAAAACCAAAGCAAAAAAAAATTCGCTATCCATGTAATAACACCTATTTTGCTCTAGTCTTTCTTACTTTTCTCTCTCTTTCTTTCACTTTCACAATATGCATAGTAGAATACAAATTACCCACATAAGAAATACCCTCAAAATCATTAAGACAATCTTCAATTCATTGCCTTTGTTGGGATATTTTTGTTTGCGCGCGACTTAATTCCTCTGAATTAACAGCTCTTTCTCAGTTTATCTGCAGGCCCATTTAAGTCAAAAGCAATGTTCTATCAACTTTCTTGATAGGTGTTGGCTTCTCTCTAATGCTTGGGTACACTAGAGAGGTGCAATCGAAGCTTTTGGGCTTATTATGGAATTTTTTAATATATTTAATATGTTCATATTTTATGTTCTTATGTATAGATCATTCCAAAAAAAAAAAAAAAGGGGCAATTTTATTTGATAATCGTAGTGACATGATTTCATCAAAAATGTTTTGTTTTCAAAATTACAATTGACATCCATTTTTTCAGAAAAATATGATTAAATTACGTGATTACAATTATAGAATTAATATAGCTTTTTTTTTCATATATGATTTAGGAAAAAGCTTATAATATAAATAAATTCATTAAATGAGGCTTGAAATGAGTTATTTGATAATCGTAGTGACATGATTTCATCAAAAATGTTTTGTTTTCGAAATTACAATTGACATCCATTTTTCCAGAAAAATATGATTAAATTACGTGATTACAATTATAGAATTAATATAGCTTTTTTTTTCATATATGATTTAGGAAAAAGCTTATAATATAAATAAATTCATTAAATGAGGCTTGAAATGAGCTCCAAGACCCAAATTGCACCTCTCCAATCCACATATAGGCGGGATTCTTGAAAATACAACTTGTGACATGTAATGCTAATTATATGTATATGTAGTTGTGGAGAAAGATTATCTTAGTGAAATCAAAGTGACCGTGCATGTATCTCTAATTTTGGACTCAACCACCTAAATCTTGTTTTGTGTATTTTGTGTCTTATCCATCCTAATGAAAGTCGCACAATTAGTGACAATATAATACCCAAATATTTTATTTTTTAGGTAATTTTGTTGAATTGGCTACAGATTCTGGAGGTCACCCCATGTGAAAGGGGTGATCCTCATGTCAACAATGGAAGGCCACCAACCTCATGTCAACAATGGAAGGCCACCAACCATGTCAAAAGTCAAAGAATGAGGGCTCTCCCACCTACTCCTTTGTGTATAAATAGAGACGGGAGGGAGAGGATATAGATATCAGATGTGGAGCTGAGAGGTGTGAGTTGAGAGCAAAGAGAGAGAGAATTACAGAGAGTGTTGTAATTCACCATTTTGTTCAATATAGTGAATCCGCTGCCCGTGGACGTAGGCGACTTGCCGAACCACGTTAAAACTTGTGTGTTATTGCTTGTTTGAGTTCCCTGGTGTGCCCCCGATCCTCAACAAATTTCTTATGTGTTATGTCAAATAAAATGGTTATTAAATACATCCAACTCCAAAATCATATTTTTTTCTTAAAAAGAAAGTAGTGTACAAAATGATTGCCGTGTATCCTGCAAGATTTCAAGCAATGCAAATTTGCCACAAGCCGCTAGCATACCACAGCTAGGGTTAGGGTTTTGAAGAGTTTTTCATTCTTTATTCTTCACTCTTCATTCTTTATTCGAATAATTCTTCTTTGTTGATAGGTTGTATAACTAATTTCTTGATACAGAAGAACAAACAAAAGAAGCGTAGTTAGCGCCTACAAGTCATGATGCGATAATATTCTCTTTAGTGATTAAAAAACAGAAGATGAATTGTGTGTAATACTTAAATGGATTGATTCCACGGAGTTGGTGGCAATTTTGGAAGGATTGAGAAGTATGAGAGAAAAAAAGTGAGAAAAGAGAAACAAGTCAGTGGATATATGTGAATTGAAGATACTGTAAAATCTGTAAACTCTGATGATGATGTTGATGATGATGATAATAGTACAAGAGAAAAGGGAATCCATGTTGTGATGTATCTGACTTATTTGTCCTTGAAAACACAACTGTGTATGTCTGGGTGGTTTGTGGGTTAGTTTAAGTTGTGTTTTCTGATGGAATGTCAGTGAGGTACTGAATGGGAAAAAGAGCGATCGCTCTCTCTCTCTCTCTATTCCATGTGGTTTTAGTCAGTTTCTTTCACTCCTTAATCCCCACATATATACCTACCTACTTAACTCATTGGTTAAATAATGTAAAACCATGATTTTAAATATATCTCTATTCCATGTGGTTTTAGTCAGTTTCTTTCACCACTTAATCCCCACATATATACCTACCTACTTAACTCATTGGTTTAATAATGTAAAACCATGATTTTAAATTTAGTGATATTCGGAGACGTGTCAATTGCAATATTTGCTGGGAATGAAAAATATTGAAAGTACTTTTTTTCGATTCAAAAAATATTGAAAGTATTGAGTCATATATATCAGGAATTAGCCGCGGCTGTGAATTTTTAAATTCATAAAGTGAAAAAAAAAATAAATAAATAAAAAGGATGAACTTTTATAATAGTCTATTTAATCTTATTGACTATAAACCAATCATATTGAATGTGAATCAGTTGTGAATGGATATATTCCTGAACGAATCAATATCAAAATGACAAAAATGTGATACATACCATATTAAAAACCATGCGTTGAACTTCAACATGATCTCTCTCCCTCCCTCTCTCAATTTCTCATAACAAAAGCTCAGAAAATAGTTAGAAAATAAAGTGTATGATATAAATTCAAATACAGTGTGACATGATTGTACTTAAAGAATTTGGTCCACACACTTTATTTTTTGAAAACATTTTGGAATTTTTTTTTTTTTTTTTTTTTTTTTTTTTTTTTTTTTTGGTTTGAGCACATTGCTGGACATGCACTCATCTATTGACGCATGAAAATGCATGTAAGTTTTATCCAAATTTCAACAAAAATTACCTTCTTACAAATAACTTCTCCAAGCTTCACTTAAGTTGGAGTGGTCTGTGTGCGTAGATGTATGCATGATATTTCTTGTTGTCGGACTTTAACACAAAAGAAAATCATCTCTTCTCTCAAAACATGAATAATAGTCTCATACCCTCATTACATTATTAACTTACATTACCTCTTTATACTATAAATCATCAATTGATCGCAAGAAGACAAGTACTTTTACTTTTCTTCTGCAGTCATGGATAGTTAATTTCTATGTTTTCCCTGGCCAAAATGTCTAGTTAATACCGATGAATTCGATTGATATCCAAACTAGGTACAATAAATAAATATATCAAGATTTATTTATCCGGGCATCATAATTAATATATGACAACTATAATATTTCAATATTTTTCATTGAATTCCATATGGTTATATTGTTGTTACCCCCCATGCAAATTCACAAGTACCCAAAGAAAAGGAGAGGCAATTAGTCATCAATCTAAAAGCTAAGAGGCCTTGGCTCTTAGACCAAAGGGAAGTAGGTGAGGAAAAAAGTGAGGGAAAAACAAAAAAACACAAGTGCACAAAAGAACAAGTTGCATCTTTATATAAGCACAAAGTTCGCCGTTCTACTTCACCTCTGGCCGATCACCAAGTCTTAGCTCAAGATCTAATTCTTCTACTGAGCCTGAGCTACGTTCAAGTGCTTCTGATGGAAGGACATGTTGTCCATCACCTGAATTTGATTTTGGGAAGGATAGTAATGGTGTTGAATCAATTCTCCTTCTTTTGCAACCAATAGCCTCCGCCTGACCTCCAGATGAGGTTGGGCGTGTTCGACGAACAACCAAATTCAAGCTCACAGACAAATCTTCTGCGACACAATCCTCCATACCCCTACTGTTTGAACCTATGAATTTTGAATTCTTCTCTTCATTATTCAGATCCGTCATATGAAAATACTGGTTTGACCATGATGGAGGAGAATATATAGAGGGCTTCTTATGATGTTCTTCAAGAATAGGAGAAGAGAAAAGAGGGATGAAGGTCTTTTCATTACTAAGCTCTTGTGTAGGTGCATGTGAAACCCTACAAGATGAGGAAGGTGATGCAAAAACAACACGATCCGAATTAGGGTTAGGGTTGTAAACCATGGTGCAAATCTGAGATGGGTATTGATGATTCAGAATAGGGTTATGATGATGAAGAACTTGAACTTCATGATCATGGGGACTTGGTGGTGATTGCTTTAGTCTAGCTCTATCCCTCCTGTGGACATTCATGTGGCCTCCTAGAGCTTGAGCTGACCTAAATTCTCTGCTACAAAAGCTACAAGAATAAGATCTTGGAGGCCATGTACAACCTCCAAGAGGCCCGGCCGCGTCTTCTACAAAAGCCTGTTCTTCCCATGAATCACCATACAAAGGGTTGGTCGACGATGCTTGAAGATGAGAACTCAAACTTTGTTTTCGCCTGGACCACATCCAATACCGGGCTTGCTCCATTGAACTATACAAGAAAAGATGAACTTTGCTAATATGTGATTGTATGGGAAGCTTTTAGAAGGGAAAAATAAAATGAATGTAGGTGGGAGATGGGTTATGTTTAGCAAGTACTCTATACCCAAGTTGGAGTAATTGAAAGCTATAAGAGAATCTACCAGGAAGAGAGGGCTTAGAGGAGAAATGTTTCCACTCTAACTAACTTAGGGGGTTGTGGAAGGTGAAATTGTGGGTAACTCTAGTTTGGCCTTTCTATGGTGTAGCTACTTTTTTGGGTCCATAGTTGGCCTTTAACAGTCACTGACGCTGCAATGGGTATATATATATATATATATATCATAAAAGACAATTTTAGTTCTTAAAATATATATATATTTTTTTTAGGTCATTTTAGTCTCTTAAATTTTAATTTTTTTCATTTTAATTTTTAAAATTGTAAATTTAGACCTATCTCTAATGTCTATTTACATTGATAACAGAAAATGTATTTTATCTTTGGATAGAATACAATTTTGGTCCCTTAGTCCATCAAGTTTAAAATTTTGTCATTTTGATCTTCAAAATTGCCAATTTGATCAACTCAAATTAACAATTTTGAGGATCAAAATACAATTAAAAATTTGAGCGACTAAAATGACAAGAAATGCGTACTTTAAGGACCAAAACTATCTTTTATTAATATTTCTGTTAACAATGTAGACCGACGTTAGATCTAGGACAATATTGACTCAAGAAATGCATACTTTAAAGATCAAAATTGTCATTTATCTACATTTTTATTATCAATGTAGGCGGACGTTAAATTTAGGACAAAATTGACTCAAATTGTCAACTTTAAATATCAAAATGACAAAATTAAAACTTAAAAAACTAAAATAAAAAAATAACACATACTTTAGAACTACAACTGTCTTTTATTTCTTTTTTTTTAAAAAAATTATTTATATTTCTTTGTGAGGTAGGAAACTATTGTTTAGATAATCACAGTGTGGGTTCTGCCTTGTACAGTGTGACTGCTCATTGCTTACATATATGAAGTGAGATTATCTGATTGAAATGTCATATGGAAATCAGAGAAGAAAAAAAAATGCAAAAAGAAATGAAGATCAACCCTGTAATGTTAACTTCATACATATGGGCATGCATTTCAATTTGGTACCAAAAGAATTTGTGGCATGCGACAAAACTCTCATTTGCTCCGACTCGTATTTTCATGAAAGTATTCATTATGTTTGCTTACAGTTTTTTAAAAACACTTTTCAAAAATTTTTACTTTCTTATTTTTCATATTTTTTCTGTTTTTACTCAATATTTTTAATATTTTAAGTAATTTTTTAATTTTTAGACAAATCTAACATAAATACACTTAAAAAGTATAATTTTCATAAAAAAAATCTTTAAAAAATTCACTAAATATCTAAAATACAAAAATATATATATAAAAATTCAGGATATTTTTTTATATTTTTGTGTATTTATTAATTTTTAAAAATATTTTTTCACAAATTATTTTTTAGATATATCTAAGTGGTGCATCTAAAAAAGTTTTAAAAAAAAATACTTAAAATTTTTAAAATATTCACTAAAAACAAAAAAATACGAAAAACAAAAAGATACAATTTTTAGAAAACTGAATTTAAAAAACTAAAACAAAACACACATATTATTACTTTAAGTTGTTCTCACTTATTTTTGTGAAAAAAAATTGTTGATCAGTCATCCAAATCTTAAAAGGTAAATGCTAGTAAAAAGGGCTTTAGAAATATTTAAAAAAAGTTAAGACAATTTTGAAATGAATGAAAAAGGTTTTTTGTTTTTTTTTTTTTTTTTTTTTTTTTGAACGAATGAAAAAGTAGTTTGACATAGGTAAAAAATGAATTCTGTTTTTCAATTTTTATTTTTTGCTAAGAGTTCTTGTTTGCAAAACACAATCTTAAATATGGAATTTCAAATTAAAATGTTAAAGGGCGAGAGTGTGGCCCTTCATATTATTTTTATATATTATTTTATTAGGCATAATTTGCATAGTTATGTGTTTGTTTGGTACTTATATGTTTGCTTGTAAATTATCTGTTTAATTGTCAACTTAGAATTCGAAATTGAAGGCCAAATGGATTTAGAAACCAAAATTGATTAATTCAATATGTTAGTTGAAATATTTAAAATCATATGGTAAGTTTAATTAAAATTTGATTCAGATCAAAATAATTAAAATAAAATAATCATAATTGATTAGACTAAGCCCAATTGATTAATCTTAATCATATGTGATTAGTGAGGCCTTAATCAACCTATATATGTGTGTGTGTGTGTTAATCACACTTAAGACCTCATTTTCTACACCTTCATGTGCTGAAAATTTAGAGATAGAGAGAGAACTGAACAATTGTAGAGAAAGAGTAGAGAATTAAGAGAAGATTGAATAGATTAAGCTTAATTAAGATCAAATTCAAACTCTAGGTATGATCTCTACACATAATTCTTGAAGATAATCCATGTAGAAAGATGAATTCACCAAGTTGTAGGACCATTTGCATGCATTTGAAAGAAATGAGCAAGAATCATCGAGAGTGTAATGAATTGTGTACATGCATGCATAATTCTTCACCTTTAAACTTGGTTTTCTACAAATGCATACATGCATGAGACTTACTCAAGTTATTTCTTAAGGATCCTCATGATTTTGTACTCAACATCTCATATAAACATGTTTTGTAAGGAAAAGAGTTGAATTTTCTACATGCATGCAGGAACATGATGTTTTAAGTTTCTTTTGAAGAATTGAAAGAGAATTTGATATCATGGTTTCATAATTTTTAAAGATTCATGTTTTGTAAAATGTTTCTAAGCTTATGAGACCAACCATGCAAGTTTTGGATTTGAAAGCAATGTTTTTCAACTTCAAACACAATCTGAAAAATCCAGAATTCATCCAGTTCGCTTGAAGGAAGGATCCTTCGCTCGAGCAAAAAATGAAGACATCTAGTACTTTTGCAGGCATTTGGCTGTTAGCTCAAGCGACCAAGTGTGCGCTCGAGCAAACTCACTTTTGTTCAGCTCTTGGCTCGAGCGACCATCAAGCGTAAAATTTGAGCATCTAGTACTTTTGTAAACAGGCCACACCGCTCCAGCGACCAAGTGTGCGCTCGAGCGAAAACCTTATTTTCAGTAATTTTTTACTAACACTTATAAGTGCATATTTACATCATCATGCCCTTTTTGGCATTCTTTTACATCATTTGAACATTCTCAATGATGGGATAAGGTAGAAACACATGTAAGAGAATCAAATTAGGATGCGCTACTTGTTTCAAACTTGTGCTTCAACAGGTATCTGTGTTACGTGTATTGTGTAGGTGGACGTCTGAGGCCTAGTATCGATCTAACCCACTGTGAGTAATATCCTTATAAAGATACATTCGAAATATGTTTTGAAAATTGTTACACGATGATAATTTTGAAATGTTATTTTATATGAATGAATGAATGTCCCTTTTTAAAATATATTCGTGGCATTCTTTTGTGAGGCCATTGCTTGGGAGAAATAATACCATATCCTATTAATTAATAAGCCCTTGCCTGGGAAAACAATACCATGGCCCATTGATTAATAGGCCCTTACCTAGGGGAAATAATACCATGGCCCATTAGATTAATTGAAACACAGAGATCTCTGATGTTAGACCTTAATAGTCCACATTGAATTATTGAATGACCTATCATGGTTCCATTGGATTGACCCTTGTAATCCTATTGGCTTCGGCACATTGTCTATTAAAACTCTATTGGATACACCACGTAAATTGAATGATTGATTATCTTTATTGCAAGAAGGGATTGAAATGATTGAATTCTATTGAATTGCTTATTGATATGCATTGTTTCGAAAATGGAAGATATGATTGTATCATGATGGATTTCATTCATATAAATCTTTATACTGATATTACTCACTGGGTTTCAGCTTAGCACTCTCCCTTATATATATGTAGGTTAGCAAGCGGAACGTCAAATTTAAAGCCACCTCGGTGTCTATCCCTATATGAAGCCATTGTGGAAAGTGCCTCCGTGAAGGGGCGTGCTTGGACTCAAGAGGAGTCAAGCTTTGTTAACTCTCTTTTGTTTGTTTTGTTTCTTGGGTTATTTTGGAACTTGTATGGATGATGGTATGTGAGGAGGTTAACTTTGAGATATTGTACATAAGTTATATGAAGTTTAAAATTTTAATATTTATGATTTCGGCATGTACGCACTGTTCAATGGTCTGTTTTTATATTATACTATTGCTTCCGCTAAGCCCCATTCTTATAATATGATTGATTTTGTCATTGAGGCAGAAGGTAATTCGGGGATTAATGGTCGGTCATGACTTAAAGCTATAAGGGCGAGTTTGGGTCATGACAGAGAGCATTAATTCCGGTTGGTAAAGCCATTTGAATAGTGTTGTTGAGCCTCGCTGAACTCATCATGGGGCATACTTTGATAATTCGAGTCATTTATTTTGTAGAGTTCTTTTCGCACATCATTCATGTAAAAATTAAATTAATCAAATCACCATGAGCTAGGGGTGCTTGTGGATCAGTTTTTGACGGTTCGATTTGCGATTTAGACCTGCCCGTACGTCTGCGATTTGGGTAGTGCAAATAGGGTTTGTAAACATACAAGTAGTTGTGGGCGGTTTGCGAATTGAACTTTTTCCTTTAAAAATTTATTTTTGGACCTATTTTTTCCTATTTTCTAAATGTTTATTTTGGGCATTTTCTCCTCATTTTCTAAATATTATTTTGGGTCATAAAATCACATATTTCTTATCAAAAAATTATTTTTTATTCGTAATATTTTAATTTTAGAGATTCACAAATTGATAATACATACTTAAAAAATAAAATAAAAAAAAACAGTTCCAATTACGTATATAAATAAAAGAAGTTCAATTTACTAGAGTATATATATTATATATTATGCATGTATATATATGTATACACAGCAACTGTGAGTATATAATATATATATATATATATATATATATTAGACGGGTAAGATTGCTCAAAATTTTATAATTAAAAAAAGAGTAAAGTGTAGGCAGGTGTGTGCGGGTGCGTGTGCGGGTGCGGGTGAAACCCGCAACCTACCCACCACTCGAAACTTGAAAATATTTCAAACCGCATTGACCCCACTGCAGATTCGAAACTGCCTGCACATGTGCGGATCAGATCAAATTGGGTAGTTTTTGTGGGTCTAATGACCTTAAACTCAACCCTGTCATGAGCACATATTCAT